GTTCTATATTACTATCTGAATAAATACCTAGTTTGGTAATCTGACAACCTGATATATCAAGATACTTGAGTTTCTGGCAATGATAAATAATATCACAAATGGGTTCGTCAGATATACTACATCTGAAGATATCAAGATATTCTAGATTCTGACAAGAGTGAGCAATTGCTTTAAGATCAGTGATATTTGGACAACTCAAAATTGTGAGACATCTTAATTTTGGACATGACCTTTCTAATTCATTTATTGTCTGATTAGCGATACTTTTGGAACCGTAAAAATGGAATTCTTTCAAGTTATGACATGATTGTGGTATTGTACTAATAGATTTATCTGAAAGTTGATAGCTATATATTCTAAAGTATTTTAAATTATGGCATTTATCTGAAACTCTACATATAGATGCATCGGTAAGTAAATCATTATTACAGATATTAAGATATTCTAAGTTTGGATATGTATCTGCAATCTTAATTAATGCTTTATTACTAAAACGACAGTCTTTAAGGTTGAGATAGATTATATTTGAACAAGCTTCTACGATCTTTTCTACCTCTTTATCTGTAAGAGAATAATATGTGAATATGAGATATCTTAAATTTCCACAATAATATGGTTTTTTTTCTTCACATATTACTCTTAAAAATTTGGCTTGTAGTATATCACATCTTTTTAATTTAATTCTTCTCCATAATAGTGGTGCGCCACACTTGTACCAAAGACGGTTAACAAATAAAGCGGAGTAGAGGGAATGATTAATTTCTAAAAAATACAAAATCTGTTCTAGTAATTCCAGTAAATTAAAAATATTTGGTTGTGTTATTCTTAAGTTGTATATTATTATATATCTTTAATCGAAAAAACCAATGCTTGGATAATTAATTTAGGCACATATACTACGCATTTTCCGGATATTCTCAATCACACTTAACTTTGCAACCAGCTCATCTAATGATAGGTCTGTTCCGCATCTTCTGGCTTCCATCTGGTTATCAGGTGACAATTCACGAAGAAAGAAATATTTAAGCTGTTCTTCATTATATCTGACTAATTTACTACATTTTTCTACTTTTGCAAGATACCCCATTACTGATTTGTTTCCTTGCTCCAATTCCCCAAATCGGAATTTTTGAATATCAGTAGGTCTGGTTGAGATCTTATTTAAGTGGTCAACTATTTCATTCAGAGAATTTTTAAACCTGAATCGAATTACTTCTTTTTTATTTTCTCGTGATAGACCATTGAAGAAAG